CTAATCCTGAAGATAATAATTGTGAGACGAAACGTAGGTTGTTAGACTCACATAAACAAAAACCTTTGCCCCGTACGCAGCTCGATTTTTTACTTTATACAATTATGTAAAGAAGTTTTTCAAAAGCTTATTAAAAAATACGGAATATAAAATATTAAAAAAGCTACCGTTGCTATTCATTTTTCATTTATTTAGTTTTTAAATAAATTTTGCTGTTGGGTCTATCCCCTGGGACACAATTATGTAAAGAGGTTTTCACATTTTTTTTAAATACCTATTAAGAAAGGTAGGATATAAAATACTAAAAGAACTCCCTTCCACTTCACTTTTAATTAAGGTCTTCTATAACTGAAAGTTATTTCTATATATTAACGTTAAAAAACTTATTTCTCAGGAAAATATACTTTAAGAAGTAAACTGATTAAAGAATTTAAATTTTTAATAAATAGATACCTCATGCGCCACCCAGCAGTTGAGAGATATAATATAGAAATTAAATAGGTAATTTATTACAGTAAACTGTAGAAAAGTACTGGAAAACTGTAATTTATTTAGTTTAAAAGCATGTAAAGGTTGGCGCGTGGTCATGAACTGTAGAGCCTTGCGCGAAGTCAATATATTTCCCACGTCACTTATGCTCTCCTAATACAAAATTCTGAAAAATTTTTGCGGACACTAAGACCGTACATCCGAATTTTCGACCGGTTGGTGTATGATGGGTTGCATAACTTGGAAGGATGTTTCTTTATCTTATCTAAATGATTATTTTATCATCGTAGCATCATACGTAGAGAATTATTAATGCATTTCCAACGGTTTGTTTCCAGTTTAGAATAAAAATGGATTTTTAAAATTTTTTCGCTAGGTAGGCAACCCAACATACATTTGCTTGGTTGATGCCGCATTCAAGAAATTTCGAGATTTAGTATTAGGAGAGCATAAGTTGATTGGGAAATCTATTGACACCGCGCAAGGCTCTATGATTTTTGAAACGCGCTAGCCTCTATTTAACAGTTTTCTTCTCCAATAATGAAAAACAATTATTAATACAAATTTTTAATACATCTTCCAACCGATACGTGTCGCAAATGTTCAGATTAAAATAAAAATATGTTAATTACTCATTAGTCGTTATAGGTAGGTCTATTCTATTTTAGAATGTTTGGAGTAGTATAACTCTAAATTATTTTTTTTTTTTAATNCTCCTTTCGTTACGCCAGTTGTTGTTAAGTTGTAAATATATGTTGTTGTTGTCTAGTTTTAATTATTCGTTTTCTAAGTCCTCCTCAAAACCTTCTATAACAAAGTGACCCAAACAAACTTACGAAATAGAAATAAATATCGTTTTCTTCAGTCTCAATTTAGTTTCAATTTGACATGATGTGCATGATCATGTGCAAGAGTTTTTTTCTAGAGAAAATTTGCAATATAAATAGCAATTGTTATCAGAACCCTCATAGTACAATACATCTGGTAGAAAAGGCAATTTAATTTCAAAAAAAGGACGTTCAACTTTTCCCGTTTGTTGCTGCAATTTTATTTAATGTAAACTGCAGAAAAGCAAGAAAGTGTAATTGAATTTTTAACGAATTCTCAGCTATGTCTGGACAATTAACTCACAATTGAACAACAGGATATGGACGTTTCTGTTATTAACGCTTTTCCCAAGGGAACAATTTAAAATTATCTTTTGATTTCCTGTTTGAACGAACTCTTAGCAAACAATGTATAATTTTCATTTTCTTGGAATAGAAACGGAGTTTTATACGAAAGTAAAATGAGTAAAGCAAAACTTTAAAGGTCATTTTTTTGAATCGAAATTAGAAACTTAGTAACTTGGTAGTTTAAGAAATCGAAGAAAAATTTAAAATTTTTCGAAAGGCATTTTATGCATTAACTTTGCTTTTATCATTGGTTTAAACAGAATTTGAATAAGGTAATGCGACGTACTACAACACAAACTTTACCTAAATTTTCTTACATTTCTTAAACACAATATTAGCTGTTATTGTTGTTAGTTGTAAATTTGCTAATTACTTCAATAGTACTCTTAACACTAAATTACATATTTGCCATCCTTTGTGGTATGCTTCCCTTTGAAGTACAATGTCAGTGTAATGTATGAAATGTTAAATAAATATTGAATACAATTAATTAATACAAAAGAATATATTTTTAAAACTAAAAATTCCTTTGAAATATTTTAGAGAAACATGCCATTTGTTTATATGTTTTGTTTTGTTTTTGTTTGTTACTGAGAAAATTTCTTAATTCTAATTACAATATTAATTGCTTAATACTTTGTTTTACTCCCACATTTTCAATTTTATTAGTGGATCATTTATTAATAATGTTAATTAGATATTTACGTATTAGTGGTCAGTATTTTGGTTCATTACTACACTATT